ATATTTGCGTGTTTGAAAGGATCTAAATGAGAAAGGCATTGGCACAAATCTGAAAATCTTTTAGATGCACTTTGGGATGGCCTCTAACTTCTGTGTATGTCAGAACATATTATCTGTTCATATCCTAATAATGCATTCATATACATTTTTCTAACACGTATTGACCTCTGGCAGACACTAGACTAGTCTAAAAACTGTACCGACACCTGTGAAATATATAAAAAATAAGATGCCTTTTGCTACAGTTTGATTTACTCTACCTTCATGTTTAATGTCTCCACACAGCTAAATCATCAACCTTTGTCATTCTGAGATAAAGAAACATATAAAGCTCTATTGCATCTTGGCCCATCATAACAAGACACTGTGCTGTGCCATCCATATGCAAACCACAAGCTGCAGGAGAGCATGAGAAGCACAAAATCAATTTCATTTGTCACCTCACCAGGACTGGCTGCTCCCCTGGACCAAATCAAATTTAGTCCTGCTATGACTCCTCAATTAAAGAAAACTCTAAAAAAGTATATTATTCTATGACTTCTCTAGTTGTCTGTTGCCAGCCAGGTGGACTGGAAAACATCTGTCTGCAACAAAACACCCATTGTAAATGGCATAGTTAAATAGATACAGGCAAAGTATATATAATAAAACAGTTTGACACTTTAATAAACACACTATACAAGGAGAAAATGAGACCAATTTATTCTTTGTAAACTGTCTCCTTCTGAGATACAAAACATATATTTTCAAGGGGAAGTAAATGTACGCTGTTCCCCCAGTAAAGACAGCAGAGATGAAAAATGAAGTTGAGTGAGGAGAGGGAGAAAGCTGTAAATGAAATCTTGTCAAGTTGCATATAAGCCCCTTCTGAATTCTCTTGAAGCTACAGACGAATTTGCTCAACCTGTGACACCCCATCAGAGACTCAAACATGTGGCTGAGCTGCATGGCATGATGGGAGGAGGGGAGATGATAGCTCTCAGACGTGTTTCTCTGTCACACAACTCTTTCACTTACTGAAAGCAAGGAGGGAAGTGGACAGAAATGAGAGGGAACAGGAGAGGCTGATGGCCTGTGCAGCATAAAGGAAGAAAAACAAATCAAGGAGAGCAAAAGCAACGAAGACAATAATCACTTAGTAACAGGAAGGCTGTGCTGGTTTCTTATTCATAGATTCATGCCCCTGCTTCATGTGAGGTGATGTGCTCCCAACAGATGATGGGACAGGATTGTTGTAACATTTAAAAAGTATGCATCACAGGAACTAAGATGAGTGTACACAAAATAATTATACCCTATTTTTCATACGAGTTAGTTTAGTATCACATGTTGTCTCTGACTTAGTCACATACATTATACAGAGCATATAAAAAAGTGTTAGGTTTGATGAAATATGTACATACATCCATTATCTATACTGTTTATCCCTGAATAAGGCTGCAGTCACCAGGGAGCGATTAAATCATGGCGGCTTCACTTCTGGAAGCTGTCAGCATGTCCATCAGATATAGTTAGAGGTTCTTATACAAAGTATGGCATTTAAATCTTTGTTTCTATGCGTTTCTGTTTAATTGCATAATGACTAAATCCATATGAGATCATTTTGGAGTCAGAGGTGAGAGGGAGTTACTGCTTAAACATGCAGTTTTATTGTACCAGAAAAGGGGCCTTTAGACTGAGGTTACAGAGGAACTTTAAAAGGAACCTGTTGTGAGAGCCACACGAGAACTGTGAGAACTCTGCTACGAAGCAAGGGCCATACATGCTACAATGCATAACTAGCGCTGGTCCAAAATGAAAGAATCAACATGTCTACTACTAATTTTTGCAAGTTTACACTGGTACATAATGACTCCAGGAAATAGGCTTAGAGTATGTTGCACCCAAAGGTCTGACACTGACACGTTCTCTTAAAGTTTAGCTTTAGGCAGTGCAGTAGTAGACAGACACATTTTCCCCTCTGGCTTAACATAGGTCTGTGTGCTGCTGCTGACACTGTTCACCAGGTCAGTGCTAGGACAACTCGGACAAACTTGTTCTACTGTTGCTGGCACCAACTCTGGTACAGGCGAGCTCCACGTCACACTTACTTGTGAATAACTATACTAACCATGAAATTTAGCTGCCAGAAACCTGAACTAAATTCATAATGAACTACAGATATTAATGGCTGAACTGTTGAGGACACACAGACACATCATAAAACCTGATATTGTTATGATCATGCACACAAGGAGGTGAATAACAAAAAGGTTTTTCTATGTTCCATGTAAAGATCATATCCCGAATGTGATCAAAAACTCAAAACCAGAACCCTAACATCTGTGCAGAACAAAACCCTTTTTCCTCCCCCGCCTGTTTCTCTTAGCACACCATATGGTTTCACAAAGAGGCTGTCGTTCTCTGAACTATGGGAAAACCTGTCCTCACACCAATCTGAGTGGAAGTTTACCAAATGTTTCCCGGGGCTCAGGCTTTAGGCAGGTCAGGTATTTGGGTGTAAGTTTCCTTGTTAGTTGTCCTTACGGGCTCAGCATTTAACGCTCATCACGATAATGTCAGGAATGATACTGTGTATTTTTGCCGTTCAATAGATGTGTGGACCTCTGAGGCACGCTGTGAATGAGTAATCCCCTTCTTGACCTTACACACCTCCCACTGTATGAACAGCCCCACCCCACAGCCTCTGGCAAATGTTGGCATTAGCATTTTGGCATTTACACTGTTTGTGCTTTTTGCATGTGTGATTCATGCTGTGCTTCAGCTTGAGTGTGCAGCCAGACTCTGCGTTACTGTAGCTCTGTGAGACATTTTTCACAGTTTTATACCCCCACAACAAAACTATTACTGTCATGAATTTAGAAGGGCTGTGTTGTGAGCATGAGGAAGCAGAAATCTTAGATGTCAGCAACATCCTCAGCGTGTTCTCAACATGCTGTCTGCCCTTTTCAGAGGGTCAAAAACTCACTTTTTACTGATCTCATTACAGACAGTGGCATTTCATTAGCCAGGATCTATCATAAAGCACTATTATCTCTCCAGCTGATGGAGTCTGCTCTTCACAGCCTCCCAGGCCTGCTATAAATGATAGCTAATCTAGTCCTGGAGCTTGTGAGTCCCAGGAGAGGAGAAGAGAGAAAATTGGTGATGGAGAAAGATCTGAAGGAAAAAAAAAATTGAAGGCACAAAAAGGTAACTTTAGAGTTATACGATTACAATGCATGAGAAAGAAAAAGAAATGCTGGCTTATTCCTTATCCTCCTCCTGCTGTTTGTTTCTGTACAGTTTCATGGGAACCTGCAGCAATAAAACTTTGGATAAATCTGCAAGCTTTAAATATTCAATATTTGTTAGTTATTGTTTTGATGTGGATTTACAGGTTAATTCTACATTGTTAATCTGCTTTTTTCTATAATTCTAACAAATCAGTGTGAGGCTGGCTGGTTTATTCCCACCCTCCAAAATTAAAAGTTATTTAAAACAATCAGGCACAGTGACCAGTGTCGACCCAGCTCTATCCATGGTGTCAGTGTAGGTGTGTTTGACCTCTCAACCTCTCTAAATGGGGAGGTATATGAACAGTCAGGCTACCAACAGTTATTAACTCAATTACAGCGAACTGAGCCATAGCATTATTTTATAGGCTTTAATTAACATTGGAGAAGTGACCCAGCCCTCTTAAATTATGGGTCCTTGAAATAACAGAGGTTTTGTGTATTGATAATGCAGCTGGTTGTTTTCTGCACACTGGAGTCATTGCATGATTTCTGCTTGCAATTCATGGTTCAAGAACTTTGAAAATGAAGAAACAGACATGCATGAATTCATCAGCTTTTCAGCGAAGACTTATTTCTGGGTGATGATGTGTGAAATTCTGCCAAAGTCGCGTTGCTCGGCTGTTGTATATGCTGTCACAGACAGGCTGACGTGGTTCTCATCAGCCAGCTGTCAGCTGAGTGACAGCCAGTCTATGAAAGCCTCTGAAGTATAAAGCACCAGAGCAACTGTGTTTAAATGTTTCTGTTGATATGGACACTGCCTAGTGTTACCAATGCAATACTGACTAAAATAAAGAGGAAAAAGCAATGACTGATTAATTAAGAGGTCTTTATGGGACAATGAGGGACATGAAGAGCTGCAGTCATAAAGAATTACAAACCCACAGCAGGGGAGAGGCACAGGTTTATGCCTTATGAGACAAGTATTCTCTTCAGAGTTAAAGTTCAACATTAGCCAATCAGTGTTGCCAAAGGCTGTAGATCTGGCTTTTCTGAAAGCAAAGCATGACTGATCATAGAGTGCCATCAGCTCTATGAGGCTGTGATGCTGATGATAAAAGAAGCCAAACTTCTTAGAAAGCAGAATTAAAGACTAAAACTTGTTTATGACCTGCAGCAGTCAAGATGAAGTAAACATGACAATTGTTAAGAGTAAAGGTCTGCGGTCATGATTACCAGAGGTATGTGGATTAATCATCTGAGAACTATGAATGTAGAAAATCTCAAAGAAATCCATCAAATGGTTGATGAGATATTTCACTGCTGGGACAAAGTGGTACCATCCACACAGCCATGCTGCTGGCATTGCTAAAAATCATCCACAGTTTCAATTTTAGTTCTGTGTGACAAAGGGGACAAATAAAAAATTATACAAATCTTTGCAATTATTATTTGTTTGTTTTTTAATAAAAAGAAAATGTTATATGGTAGAAAGTTAATAGCCTCAATGTCAGCCTTTGAAATCGTGTGTGTGTGTGCATAAATAAGTGTAAAAGATGGAGGGAAAAGCTCTTTGTGCATCTCCCTGCTTAATAAAATTGATAATGAGCACTTAATAGGATTTTACAGGCAGTACGTGTATACCCATAATTCCTATAATCCCAGTGCCCAATAACACTAAATACTGTTAACCATCAACATGGCAGTAGTTTCACGCTTTCCTTCCACCCACTCACCAGCACAATGTCCTGTTTTCATAACAGACCTGGATATTATTCTCTCACTGTTAGAGACGCCCCCCTCCCCAGGTGGGTGAGGGAGAACAAAGGTAGGACTCAAGTATGTTGACCCAGGTGCTGGGAGGGGGACGGTTTACTGGTAAAACAACACAAAGTAACAAAAGAACCTAACAAAGGCCTAGTCCACGTATACAGTCCGGGGTGGAGTGAAGATGGTTAAGGAGACCAGAATAAACCGGTGAGTTGACGGCGGACGAGAGAGAAAACAAAGAAACAAAGGAAACAAACAACCAAAACCCAACGCACAGTCACTGTCAGCGTTGGGAGTAGTACGTTTGCTAAACGCATAAATCTCGTGATCAAGCCAAGCCAAAACGCACAGTCACTGTCAGCGTAGCGTGCTCGCACACGTGTATTTACGCGGTTAAAACAAAAACAACTATCATGTACTGTGGGTACAAACTAAGTACACGTACATGTGGTATTTGTCCATTACCTGTCGCAATAAACCGGCCCAGGCGGAGCGTCTGCCCGAGGTATAAATAAGGAGGAAAACTAATCATCGGGATGCTCCTCAGCTGTGTGCACCGACAAACGAGTCGCCAATTACAGATATTAGCATCATCTAAAGCTTCAGGAAGGGAACGCAATGTGATTAACAGTGCGGAGCCTTGCTGAATCCCCTTTCACAGCTTTTTCTAATCTTGTGTCAATAAAATATCTTTTTATACCTTTTCCAGATAACAGTACATAATACTTCACTGTTTTCATAATAATTATGTAGGTAAAGATGAGGCAGAACATTGTCAGGAAATTGGTGGCCACAACCAGCAATGAGAGGTGACTAAGATGTAAATAGACAGCACAGACAGCAGGACCTTGGTTCCCCTGGTTGTGACACTGGTTTATTGATGGCAAAGCCAAATGACTGGGTTGAAAGATGATGCACCAACAGCAAGTGTACATGTTGAGCCGACAGTCATGAGTGCACACTGGTGGTATGATGATGCGCAGTGTTGGGGAGTAACACTTACTGTAATTAAATTACAAAATAAATGTAAATGTAATCAGTTACAGTTACTGAAAAGAAATACACATTTAAATTACAGTTACTAATCAAAATGTTGGTGATTACAAAGGGGGTTACATCTGAATATATTCTTTTGGGTAAAAAGCTTAAAATAATATCTATTCTGTTGCTTTAAATCTTTACGCTGTGCAGGAACAACTTCTTTTGGCATATTACTGAACAATGCAAGTCAGCGAAGCCACTGAGATGAATTCAAGTGCAGCGTGATCACAGGTAGGACGGAGTACAAGGAGCTGCCTCTATGTCCAAATAGACACCATTCATTTAGCAGCACTGCATTGAATTTTGAACTTTCGATTGGTTTTCTTCTTTTGACTTTGCACCGTGTCGAGTACTGTTGTGAGGTTTTCACTGCCTGTTTAAATTTAAGATAGGGCTTTTCAGCATTCTTGCCCAGTTTTTTTTAGAAAAGAAATAAAAAATAGAGGTAGTGTTACATTACTTTGATGAAGAAATTAAAATAGTTACATAACTTATTACATTTTAAACAGGGTAACTAGTAATCTGTAAATTATTGCACTTTAAAAGTAACCTTCCTTACACTGATATGTCAAACCAGAGATAACAGATAGCAGCAACCCGACTCAGGAAAGCAGTACTCAGGTACAGTAGCAGCATATTTAATCTGAATAATGGCCAAAACTATGACAATAAGATAGAGAAGCATTATTTTTCACAACATTTATTTTCTGGAGTTTTCACTCTGGTTTTCTGTTATAATGTAACCCCCACACATCTACAGTATGCACAGAGAGAACACCACATCTGTTTGTAGGGGCTGCATCACACCTAGGATAATCTAGAGTCTGCTACACAAAAGCACATCAAATGCTGACTGGAGGTTAAAGGTGGAGACAGCTGCTCCTGCCAGAGTCTCAGCTGACAGTGAACTTCAAAGGGGCACTGCTTTACATAGTAAACCACAGAGAACAAAAACATCTATCTAAATTTGATGTATGTATAGAAGAGTCTGGATTCCTGCTTTGTGATGTTTCTCCTGTTGTGTGTTCAGCCAGCTATTGCTGCTGCACTTTATCCCTGATTGGCAATTGGACTCCTGATGTTTCATCACTTCCAGCCAGAGCAGAGACAAGATGACAACGTCATGTCTCATTCGTGAACCTGCTGTTACATGTGCGGTCAGTGCTGTTGTGTTTTTTTAACCTTATCACTGCCATATTAGTACCTGTAACCGAGGAGAGCTCAGACACTCCCCACCACATGATTAGTTGAGGGCCTGGGTGGTGGTGTTACTTATGGAGAGATGGACAAACCCACATAAACTGTGACAACAAATATGTTTGCTCAGCAAACAAACATACAAACAGCAATCAAACAATACAGTCGAACCTATTCAGATGTCTTTAGTGGAATACAGCAACCAAAACTGAATTTCTCTCCCATCGCAGCCACAATGATGTGACTGCATAAAACGTGATACAATTGAGATTTGACAAATTGTCAGGTTTGCTCGGTTTCACCTGCCCTCTCTCTTCCTCACACCTGCCAGCTGTTCCCATTAACACCACCTGTTTCCACTCCAGATCTCCTATACTGTATATACACTGCCTTCCTACCTGCCCACTGCCAGTTCGTCTTGTTTCCACACAGACAGTTAGTGCCACCCTTGAGTTTCCAAAGAACTGTTTTATACCTGCCTTGTGGAATAACCTGTTTGTTTTTCTCCTGCTCCAACGACGCCTTCTCCTCGACCTCTCCTGCCTTCTCCGCTCCTATGTGGACTCTTACTGCACACATGGAACCGTTACCTCCGGACCTACATCATTCTCCATCATACAACCATTCACTAGCCAGGTCAGTGCTCTCTTCTTCAACTCCCTTCTACTTATCGTCCCCTTCTACCTTCTCCCTGCTCTCCAGCCTCACCAATTCAGCACAACCAGCCAGTGAGTGATCTTCTCGCCCTGCAGTTCGGCCCAGCAACCGCCCTGATTTTGCCATCCTGCTGGCGACATCCATACCATCTCCTCCTAGTCATATGCACAGTTATTTGTTACGTCATTGCACTCCTTACCTTGTACAGCACAAAAAAAATAAAGCACTGCTTATGGTGAAGTCAGCCTTCTGAGTCCACCTCTCTGTCACACTACCTCTGGTGGTGTGCGAACATAACATTATTGAGATGTTGTTGATTATTAGCAGAGCAGCAGTTCCCTGCTCTGCTAATAATCAGTCTGGAGGATCAATTAAGATGACAGGAAAGTAGAAAGAATGCATTTATTATTGTAAGTAGATGATTCATTTTAAGGCATCACAAGTCAATTCAGGAGATGGTGATAAAGATAAAATCCTGTATTACTTTGTACTGTAATTAATGTAGGACTATATATACTTCTTGAAAATCAATTGTGAATTTGTCAGTGATAAGTAAACAGGAATATCCATTTTGGCTAATCCAGCAAACTCAACACATGATAAATCAAAGTACATTAATGCAAAAATAAGAATTTCATGGAACATATTTATATATCAGCCACCCATCAAGAGATATTTTACCATTACTATATAAAATTACAATAACCCATCCCCCATTCATCGCCATTAGAGTACAGTGCCAGTGATTCACTGTTAGAACTGTAATTTATTACCGGATGTGTCACTGATAAATGGAGGTGACAGGAAACGGCATAATGAAGATTAGAGATATGCAGGGAGAAAGAAGCTGCTCAGTGTCTGTGACCCTGAAGAAATCTGTGGGCTGTACTGCACAGCACTACCAATTCACATTCTCTGTGTTCAGGAAAATTAACTACTACGGCATACTACTCCATGAAATTCACAAGTCTAATCATTTGACCTCATGTATGTCGTGTGTCCATACACATCCACACACACGCGCTGATAAGCCAAATAAATAAGAAAGTCCATTCTGTTCTGCTACAGTGTCATATGGTGCTTGGCAGAATACTGCAGCATAGAGGAGCAGAGATCATCCCTGAGGTCAGAGCAGCACAGCTCTCTGGGAAATGAGCCTAGAGTGCAATGTTTTGCAACCACTTCACTAGACCTCACTGGTGTTATCAAGTAAAGCTTCCATGGACTCTCCTTTTAACTCTCTGCTAGGCTCAGTGCACTGACGATCACAGCAGTTAGTCTCCGACTTTCACAGCATACATCTACTAGCCTGCCTACGTACATACATGCATCACTGCGCACAGTTTACAAGAACATACACAGTACAGACACAAGTATGTACTATACAGCGTCTGCTGAGGTGTGTGGCTAAGATGCATCACCACCACTAAATGCACAAAAAGCGCAGGAACATTACACATACAATCATACACACAGTCTGAATGCAGGCGGCCCCAGGTTGCGGTGAAAACTGGAGAAACAAAATGAAAAGGAAACAACATCAGAAGGCGTGAAGGCATTTGGAATAGATGAAAATATCATCTGTAAAAATAGAGCTGTGCCCCAAATCTGCATTATACTGTATACTATGATTATAAAATATGCACTATAAGGAACTGATATATTTTACTGCTTTATGCTATACATTATACCCACATTCAGATTGTGGGCATACATGTTTCAACATGGATGAGTGTGAAAAGTGGGCATACAGGTATGGATACAGATAGAAGGTGAGAATGACTCAGGGCCAGACAGGGGGCACTACAGGCAATCAGATCTCCAGACTGGATGGACAGATGTGTGAACAGGCACTGGACAGATGATTAGCAGATGTCAATACGTGGCCCCTGTGATAACATGTTAACTGAGCGACATAATTGAAAACTGGGAGGTGAAGAGTTAGTGCTTTGCGAAGGCAGAGACAGAGGATGTCTGTGGAATTGCTCTGCTGTCGTTGAGCCCTTGCTGAAACAATCAGCAATGTCATGTGTACTGTGTTTGAATATAACCTGAATTTACACTAGAAAATAAAAGAGCCATTTACTTGCCTGTCACTGCCTGTGATAATACTTTATTGTATATAACATCAGCTTGAAAAGCTGTTATGTTTCTGGTTCACATAACACTTATCAGTTCATCTTTCTATTTGGGAAAGGACAAATAGAATTCAATTTTCTAAACTAGAGTAAAACTCAAGCCTTAGGGGGAGCCGAGCTCCCCCGTAGTTTGCACCATGCTTGTGATCAGGTCACATTTATAACCAATTAATGCAGAAAACCTAGGTTAGCATCGTTTTTCATTTACATGATGTAATTTTCTATTTAACTGGAGTAAGGAAAAAGCGAGAAAAATAGCAATTGGTCTTTGTGACACAGGGATTGATTGCTGATATTTAATTATTGTTACATGGTGCCCTGTTTTTGTGTACAATCTACTGTTTAGCACTTGACTAATTGAATTGCTATGCTGCACTGCAACAGACCCTAATCACATAAGATCTAGAGCACACAGTGAGCAGACCCATACAACTCCAGGCCTGACATCTGGTTGCTGGACGAATTGTTACAGACTGAAGCACTGGACTCCAGTCCTGGTTTAGATAATAAAAAAAATGTAGCTGCTAAAGAATAACACCACTCTCTTAGCTCTCCTAGCTTTTAAGATTTCTTGTTTCCTGGTCATTTGCAATCCCAACATGCTAATCGGGGTTTGAGGGATTATTCAGGCTCTTCATAATCAAGATGAGGTGCCTTTAAAGGAAAAACAAGTGTTTATCTGATACTCAGGGCCAATTCCAGGAAATATACTGTGCATGTTATTTAAAACTGAGAATGCTAATGCTAAGTGCTAATGCTTACACATCCATGTACAGTGCACACAGATGGGTGACAAATTAAAGGAAACACTAACACAACGTGAACAAAACAGGTTACACGAGTGTCTCCAACTTCTGTATTTCTCATTGTGTTCAACACACACTATACTGTATAAGCTAGGGTACAACTGGCCATTGTAGTTCATGCGCTATTAATTTGCTTTGTATGTAAAACCTGAATCTGTAAAACAAGTGGTAAATGTTGCAGTCAAGTAATTAAGTAAAAAAAAAATACAGTACTTCATCCTGAAAAGTGGTGGAATAAAAGCATAAAGAAGCACAAAGTGGAAATACAGTATTAAAGTACAGTGCAAGTCATGGGACAATGTTCAATACTTAAGCAACTGTAAGTGTAGTCTACTATCTAGTGTGTGAAACACTGCAGGTTTCCTTCATTTTTTTCTGAAATGTCTCATGAATGTGGAAGAATACCCAGCTGATTTTAATGGATTTTGACCATCCTGGACTCCCTGCAGCTGATCCAGAGGAGGCTCCACAGCTGGAACACCATTACCATCACTCACTACTTACTCAGTCTCTGCCTGCTCTGAAAACAGCCTCTGTTATCTATACATCTCAGATCTAAAATTGCCTGGGCTATCTATCTTAGACTGGGGTGTAAATAGTATTCACACTGCAGCTCCACTGAAAGTGAATAAAATGGCATTCACTTGCCTATTTTAAATTCCCTGACAACAATGCCAAAACTACTGCATTAGCTGCACTGATGAAAGGAATGGGGCCATTCAGCGCCATGCATGTATTGTCATGGCTTGGCGAAACCTCTCTTTTTACTGAGGACTTTTTAATGCCGTCATCAAAATGCACCCTTTGTCCTGTTGAATCTCCATGAGTAATGTGAGGTGTATTTGCTGAGGTGGAGGTGGTATCCCTGGCAATGGAGGGCTCCATATGTTTCACATTGTTTACCCAGTCATTACAGGCCACTCTATCCCTGTGCGACTAGAGCCATGCTGTCACACCAACACTAGCTCCCCTCTACTTCTTCATCTGCATCGTCATGAGAACAGCACCCACAGGGGGAGAGGTAGTCCACAGGAAATTAGGACTGTGACAAGATAAAAACCAGCGTTCATTTGATTCTGTTCCCTGGCAACCAGTAAGAGCAGCGGCGAATGGCAGAAAAATGAAACAATCTGTAGGAAAAGGTATGCTGATAGGCATGTTGATATGAGTGTAATGGGCCACTGCCACATCAGCTTTGCCCAATAAGATTCACCTACAGACTGAATGCTCACCTTCACATAAATCATATGTAAGAATCAGTGTAAACCATCTGGCTGGTGAGTCAATATTTCATTATCATTCTTCGAAACACTGCGAGACAGATGTGTCACTGTAGGCCTATCTAGACATTGTGGTTTATGGGTTTCCACATCAGCATGTGCTGATAATGTGTTATTAAAGGAGCTGTCCCAGCCAAGAGAGTCACAACAACACTACAAAAAAAAAAAAAAAAACTGTTCAGCAAAATCTAAGTCGAATGTCTTGGAAGTTAATTAAAACATTTTGAAACATTTTAAATGAAAGAAATTAAAATCAATGAACAGAGCAACATTTACATTATAGCTATAAATCATTTTACAGGCTTGTGTTTTGGCTCCAGAGATGCCAAGCTGGATGTCAGGCAGCTATATACTGTATCATGAAAACATGAAAACAAAAACCAATACATTCTAAGTGCCTGCTGGATGGTCTAAACCTCACCTCCACCTCTCCACCCACACCTCTGTCCGTGATAGCAGGTTTGAAACCCCAACTGAGGCTTTTCAGTACAATTATCAATACTTCCCTGCTCCAGTGTGGTTGGACAACATGTCATGCAAACCTTTTTTTTTTTTAAGTACACAAGAAAACAAATGAGTTTCTAATTATGACATGTAGTCATTACCTTTTATTACACAGAGCTCAGAGTCAAGCGTAGCAGCAGCACAGAATGTCAGTGATGTACAGCATCACTCAGGTCTGTTCTTTCTGTTAGATCTGCTCGGACACAGAGGTGAGCGAGTCACAAAATGACGGACCCAGGTGGCTGACTTCAGTGCAAGCAGTGCTCAGTTTATTTACAGTGATATCAACAAGGAAGTGAATAACCAGGTAGAAGTG